GCACTCAAACTTGCACTTTTGTCTCAGCCTTTCTCTGAGTTGGGGTTATGGGCATATGCCATACATGGTCCCTGGCTGTGAAATTGGGGATTTTCATTGTTATCATTACTCTTCACATTCCTTGTCTAGTAAAGAAACATTTTCACAGATGTTTTAAGGATGATAACTAAGATAATAAGGATAGTCAATACTTTTGATGTTCAGGTCTCTGAGAGTAGGTCTCAAGCTCTCTGGTTACTGTATTCATTTGCCAAAACAAAGTACTGGGTCTGTTGGTGCTCAGGCATTAAGTGATGTCACTTCTTGGCCCTCATTTCTGCGGATGAGAAACAGGCTTTTGCAGGTGAAGTCATTTGCTCAGGACCATAGCACATGGTGGAGCCAAGGTTCCCAACTGCTTCTGCAGCTCTATGCTGCCACTCCCTTGAGGCAGGTCCTCACTGCTCCCAGGTTGCACCAAATTTTAGGAGTGCATGAGATCATCAAATTCACTGTTTTAGAGGAGGGAGCTGAGCCTCCCCCAAGGCCACCAACTAGTGAGGAGCAAGTGGGAACTCACATTCCAGTCTGCTGCCTCTTGATCTTGTTTTGTTCCATTACCTCAAGCTTTAGGAAATTAACAATTTACCTCTGATTAATACATTCTAGAGTCCAAATAAAACCTGACTTTCTGGGGCCGGGGAGAGAGATAGCTCAGCGGCATAAATGCCTGCCTGGCAAGCACAAGGTCCTGAGTACAATCCCCAGTACCAAAAAAAAAAAAAAAAAAAAAGTAGTGGGGCGGGGACAAACACCTGACTTTCTGTGTTAATGATTTTCATTCCTGAAATGGAAACATGGGGGATAGAACAGAAATCCATACCTGGCACTGGCCTGGGAAGTAGTTAGGCCAGTATCTCACCATTATTGTTTTGTGCTCTGTTAATAAGTTCTGAATTACTATGAGAGGACCAATAGATGTATCTTCATATTAGAGAATAGTATTAATAACATGTTATCTTGGGGCTGGGGAGATGGCTCTGTAGAATAAGCACTTGCCTGGCAAGCACAAGAGTCTGAGTTCAATCCCCAGTTCTGCCAAAAATAATAATAATAATAATAATAACATGTTGTCTTTTTAAACTGAGGAGAGACTTGTCTCTGAATTAAGAATAAGCTGGCCTAATGGCACTGGAGGCTGAGGAAAAAGGATCTCCATGGGGCCGGGGAGACAGCTCAGTAGAATAAGCCTGGCAAGCACAACGGCCTGCGTTCAATCCCCGGTTCCACAAAAAAAAAGAAAAGAAAAAGGATCTCCACAAGTTCAAGACCAGCTGAACTGCATAGTGAGACACTTATCTCAATGAAAAAGAATTAAGACTAAGACCCCTGTCTACCCCCAACCCCAAATTCAAAGAATTTTGCTGTTTGGGTCCTTAGCTTCCTTTCTAAGCCATCAGACTTAAGCACTTGAAAAATATTTTTGCTGAGGTTGTCATTGTAGCTCAAACCTGTGCTGCAGACCTTGTCTAAATGTTTCCCGAGCATTGAGCCTCACAAAGAATGTTAGAATCCCTTCAGACGAGGGCCCCCCCACTTTGCTACTTTTTTTATATTTTATCATTTCTTAAAACTGATTTACTGGGGCTGGTGAGATGGCTCAGTGGTCTAAAGCACCTACTTAGAACAAGCTTAGCAAATCAGAGGGACCACGGTTCAATCCCCCAGCACCACATGCCAGCCAGCCCTGCCCCCTGGTGGGCTGAGCTGGCCACACACACACACACACAAATAAATAAATAAAATTAAAAAAAAAAAACAAAACTGATTTACCTCAACTTACCATAGAGTGCTTGTTAAAAATGCTTGATTTTGTGGGCATGGTCATGCATATGTGTAATCTCAGTGACTTGAGAGGCTGAGGCAGGAGAATTACAAATTCAAAGCCAGCCTGGGAAAGTTAGCAAGACTATAACTCAAAAAGACATTTTACGATGGGTATTAGAGACCAGCCAGATAGCTCAGTGGACTAAAGCACTTGCTTAGGCAAGCACAGGGACTGGAGTTCAATCCCTGGTGTGCTGTGCTGGCCCTGTTCCCTGGGCGTTGAGAAGACAAATGAGACTGGGCATGGTGGCACGTAACTATAATCCCAGCGCTTGGGAGGCTGGAAACAGGATTACTACAATCAAGTCCGATTTATGTAGTGAGATCCTGTAGACCCTGTACTCAATACATAAAAAAAAAAAAGATGGGTATGGCATACCTGTAATCCCAGTAGCTCAGGAGGCTAAATTGGGTGGATCTCAAGTTGAAGCCTATCCTTTGCAGCTTAGTGAACCCCTCTCTCAAAAAATATAAAAGGAGTAGAGATGGAGCTCAGTGCAGAGGCACTGAACCAGTGCAAGTTAACACCCCTCACAAAGGTCCAAGGACATAGCTGTGTAGGTCTGGGATAGAGTACTTGTCTAGCATAAGAAAGGCTTTGTATTCAATTCCTGGTATCAAAGAAAAGCTCAGGAGGATCATAAATTGGAGGCCAGATTAGGCCATTCCAAGACCTTGTCTTAAGCCCTTGCCTGGCAAGTGCGGGGTCCTGAGTTCAATCCCCAGTACCACAAAAAAGACCTTGTCTAAAATTTAAAAAAATTTAAAGGCCCACCTGATAGCTGAGCAGACTAAAGTGCCTGCTTAGGCAGAGCACAGCAGCTGGGGTTCCATTCCCTGGCCTGCGGTGCCAGCTCCACCCCTAGGGCTTGCTGAGATTGGCCCCTGAGACTGGGAGTGGTGGTATGTGCCTGTAATCCCATCACTTGGGAGGCTGAAAATAGGAGACTGACTACAAGTCCGATCTATGTAGTGAGACCCTGGAAACCCTATACTAAATACAGGGGGAAAATTTTTTTTTTAAAGACCTGGGTGTGAGGGGGTGGCCCAGCATGAGTGAGGCCCTAGGTTCATTGTTCAGTGTGTTCTCCCCCGCTCCCCAGCATAGTCCTGGCACTTATCTGCAGAGGGGCTGAGGAGATCGCTCAGCAGTCTAAGCACCTGCCTGACAACACAAGGACCCTGGTTCTATCCGTGGTACCACATGCTGTGCTGGCCACTGAAACCAAGCATGGTGGCACATGCCTGTAATCCCTGCACTGCTGAGACAGGAGGATCACTA